CAACACTTCGATTCTTAAATATAGATCATGGAATAATATAGTTAAGGTATGCCTAGTCGAAGATATAATTAGTGAAGATTTTTTTATATATATCAAAAGGGTTTTATGGTTTTTTTTGGTTAACCATAAAAGATGAAATCAAATTCTCGTGTTTAAAGATTAATTTGACAAAGATGGCAAAACCATTTATACTCGACTATATCCATGTAAGTGTGTGTTTCGAAATGATAAAATATATCCATATTCACATATCTATAAACAATATATCAAATTTGATTGTATTAACATTTTTTTATCTTTAACATTTTTTTTTGAATTTTTTATTTTAGTTAAGAAACTTATTTTTTTTTTCTTGTTTGCTTTAAATATGTGAATTTTATGATTTTTTTATATATTTCTGTCAAATGTTTTTTTACTTTAATTTAGACCTGTGAAACTTATATACAAATTATTATTTACATATTTTTGTTCTTAACGTATTTTGTACTTTTAAAACAATATTTAGTCTGATATATATATTTTATAAAAAAAGTTAAAAACTAATTGAATCAAATCGTAGACCGACTTCAAGAAATGATTACAAAATAAGTGACATTAATAATTCAACGATTTTACTTGACCAAAACAAAAAATAATAACAATTTAACGATTAATTATTGCAAACGAAACTCTGCTGGACCGACGTTTTAATTCATTTGTTTAGACTCGAAACCAATTAGAAGAAGAAGAATCGTAACGTGAAGAAGTGAAATCAAATCATGAGTACACCGGAGCAGAATCACGATGGTCGGATCTCTACTCCCCCCACCGCATCGTCGTCGGATCCCAAGGCTCCTCCTCCACACTCATCTGACTATGCTCCTTACCCTAAGATCGACCCTAACGAAGTTACTCCTCCGCCTCCTGCTCCAATCTCCGGCAATACAGCCACCACCATGCCGCCGGAGTCCAATCCTTACGTCTCTCCTTCCCCTGTTCCCAAGAGTGAGTTCATTTCTCTCTCCGATTTCACATCCTATCGA